CTCCTCTGCTCTGCGCTCACTCTGCATGCTGTTACCAGAGCAGGGAGCAGCAGCGGTCAAAATACCTCAGAAACTCGAACAAATAAGCTTTAACAAGGTTTTAATAAGTTAAACATTAGAGGTACATGAAAAAATGTGCACATAACGAATGAAACTAAATAAATAAATTGTGTGCATGCTGGTCTTGAAGCCTAGTCTCCCACTCTCTTGGTCCAACACTCTACCCATTGCCCTATTGGAAGCTTGCTATGAGCTAAGCTGCGCATTGCATAACAACCGTGATGGGCTTTTATACTGAGGAGGTGGAGCCTCACCCAAGGGTTGCTAGGTAAGGGGCTGAACGCAGGTTCTGGTGGGTTGTCATACGGCTTGTGACATCACAAAATAACGTAAGTATAAAACTTGTCGTTAATATACATTAAAAATGCATTTACTTACAGTAAATATGCCCCTGGGTGCATTTTTTTGTTCTAGGACTGTTTTTTAAAGAAGTACATACCCAAAGTTGAGTTAAAAAAACCTTTAAAAAGTTAATTTTGCATAATAGGTCCCCTTTAAAGAAGCATCAATAAAGCAATTATAAAACTGTTTATTGGAAAACTGAAGCGGTGCATTCTGGGTACATGACGGATTTGATTTGTGACGAGAAACAAAAGTTTTCCATGTAGTTGCTCCAGTTGACCACTAGATGTCTGTCTAACCCCGTTGGCGGATTGCTTCAACCAATTACATCAAGTATTGACGTCCATCGTTTGAACTTTATTTTTTTTAAAAAGGAGCTCTGATTGTAAAGTAAAACAAATGAATACATAAATTTTTTTAGTATGGATTACAAACGTTTACTGCTTTTGCTGGGAAAAGGAGTACTAAACATTGCCTTCCTAATACGTAAGCAGACACAAAGCATTGTGGGAAATGAGAACCGTGACCCAAAGCAACAGTCAGCAGGATGTATACCTTCACAATCAGTGTGTTTATCTGGGAGTGGTTCTGTTGGATAGATCACGTGTGTTGTGACTCATTGACAGTCATACCTTCTGCTGTTCAAGATAATGATGACTGGTAGATAATTAGTTATTAGTGGTGACGCATTTTAAATTTAGAAAACACAGATCTGCGTACGAATTTAAAAAATTAGTAAGACCGCTAGAGCGCAAACAAAATATTTAGGTCCGCAATTAGCGTATTTGTGCTTTAATGGACTGGTGTCTACCACTGAGCTTAGATATTCAAGAAAACTCTCATCTACGATCCTAAAGGAGAGTCAAACACACATCAGTTAAGAGCAAATGAATGGGGTCTACTGTATATAACAATGCAAATTTTCCTGTTGAAGTTGTGCACTTACAATGGAGTTTCCACAGAAACCTCAGCTTATTCCCAATGAACGCTTGAGGTTGGCCCACTTCGCACATGCACATTTGTGATATTTTCTAACTGTGAAATAGCCTATTGTGAAACAACTGAATGCATAAGCTCATCTAAGCTAATTATTATAAAAAAATTCATTGTCCTTTAAGTGTGCTTGTTCATATAAAACATTAGTTCAATGTGAAAATTTACCCCAATAATAGAGATTATTTTTGAGGCATTTTAATTTAATTCTTTACAAATTCTTCTTTTATTTCATAATGTTTTTCCCAATGGCTTGTTCATAATTACACTTTTCAGCCAAATTATTTTGCCTGTCAATCAAGAGAAACAGGGTGGAGTTTATTGTTTGATTAGCTGTTCCTTTACCCAGACAAAAGTAATCACATACCAACACTGAATTATGCCTAAAGGTGCAGCATATGTCTATGAGGCTGTGGTWTGGAGTTCAAACTGCTGCAGCTCAGACAAATGTAGCATACTGTACATTAAAAATTGGTGTTCCACAGTCAATGTCTCAGTGGTATCAAACTAGGTCTCACAAATTAATTATTGATAATTATCACTTACTGACAAAGGCAAAACGGGGATATTTTTTCCACATTTGAGTGTTTTCATTCGTTCTGTTAGCAAAACATCTCATTAACCACTGCACAGATTTTAATTAAAGTCTTCAGAGAGTATTTATATTTATTCAATGTACATCTACAACTGTATAACTTTTAAAGCAAAACTAATTTAACAGGGCTGCCACGACCAAATAACCTCAGAAAACATAAAAGTAGTGATATCTCATTTAATTTGACAAATATTGAGTTAAAATGTGTAGTAGCTACTCAGCAACCCTGACACACATACTAAGCAGAACACATCTTTGTTGAAGGCAACCCATGGTTTTAAAACTTTCAGGAAAKAATTATTAGATGTGCATCTGATTAACTTCTGGAGCTGACCCATTTCATAGTTTTCTGTGTGCACAGCATTGTGGGTAGCGGTCAGAAGTTTATCTGTAAAAACAAACCTCCATCATTATTAAATTTGATGGATGTGACTGTGTTTTTTCTGTTTATCTGATGTTTGTTGCTAATTATGTTAGAGAAAACAATGTATGAGGTTAAATGTTGGAGTGTCAATGCATGAACATCATAGAAAGTGTATGTAAGTGTAAATAAGTTTTTATTTGTTAAAATGTGATTTTGTAACATTTTATTTTTAAAATGATTGATATGATTTCTTACATTTAGCAATAAAACAAAATTACTGCTCTTGTTTAGTCTTTCAATT